GGTATGTACAAAATAAAAATTATGTAAGCCCTTAGCCGTCAAAGTTCAAAAAGTTCGATCGTGAGTTCTCTTTTTTTTGTTTTTCGAATATTGGTTATGTCACCGACATCTCACTATTTATCTTCTCGAGTTGCGAACTATTGAACTACTTCGGAACGGAATAAATATGCGGTCGTCGGATGAGCACAAGCGACTTCGGCGACGCCGTTAGCGCGTCGGCGTCGCGGCAGCGGAATCGTTTGCATAATGCGTGGTAAACTGATATGAACATACGCACAACGCGGTCGTAGTAGTCGTTGCATCCATCTAACCATCCCTCACTTTTGCTCACCCTCGACGGTGGCGCGCCACCCCACTTGCCAAACGGATGGATGGGGAGACGACGACTCCTGTATGATTTTCATTCAACAGCCATCCATCTTGTTTGAGACGGTTTAAACTGACAGACACCAAGATCCGAGAGTGCTGCTACTATCGTGACATGGCATATATATGTATGTATGTGTGTTTGTTCGTATATGTGTGTTCGTAAATGTCGGCGACGATCTTCAATAGCGCTGGGTCGAAAATACAGGGTGAACAATCGCTCAGCAAATATTGATTCGGCAAACATAAATTTTTGTTGGAGTACAGAATATCCTGTCTAATCACCAACTTTGATTTTAAAATAAACCACGTGAACACACGTAACTGTCTCTGTGCATAATTTTTTTCACGTCACAGAAATCCTCGTCTAATCCTTTGGAGTATTAAAGAGAAGTACATTGTTTTCTATTAATCAATCGACTGTTAATCGATTTCTTCGCCCATTGTGAGTCGATTTTAATTATTCTTTTTTATTCAATAAGTTATATCTCAAGGGTGAAAAAAAAACATCTGAAAGGGTGGAAAATTGTGAGCTGATTACGCAACATCGTCATTTTTGTCTGATTTTCTTATTATAGAGACTAGATCTCAAGGATGGTCCTATTTAAATTTCTCAGCATTTTATAGGCAAATGTTTATTGTTTATAAGCAAAGTATTGAAGTCGATAAGTATATTTAAATTATTTAATTAGTCATCATCATAAGGTCGTCAGTTCTAAGACTGGTTGGACACGCACCTCCACTCTTTCCTATCCTGAGCTAATCTTCGCATTTCCCTAAAACGAGAACAGCCCACATCTTTAACTACTTGCGAGCAATAATAATCTAATCTAGGTCTACCTCTACCCCTCCTAACTCCTGTTTCTGCCTCTAATATGTCTCTTTCTAGACCTTCATGCCTAGGAGGGTGTCCTACCAACCTATCTCGCCTATTTTTTTATTGACTTTCACAGAGTTCTCTGTTCTCCTATTCTTTCTTTGTTTTTTTTTATTTAGTTGGTATGATGGTAATATTTCATTTCAGTCAGGTTTTAGAACATTGCGATAAACTCTCGTTGTCTGGAGGCCACTCCTAAGAAAAATACCCATGTAGTATTTTTTTTTATTTTGTATGATAGATACATCTTTTTAAAAAGTGATGATGATGGTTGATCCTATTAACCTCTTTTAACAGACTAATATCTACTTACTATCAAACTTTAATTTGGTAATCAATTAATCATTAATAATTAATGAAATAAACGAAGTGAAATGCAATTTCAATTTATCAATACGTAATTGCTGTTAGAAATCCTTACTCCTTACAATGTTTCAACTAAAATTACCTAACCTTTGAAGATCACCTTTTTATTTTGTGTTAAGAATCAACAAAAGATTAATTAATTGCAGTCCGTATTAAGGCCGATTTTCACTATACATTTTGTTTCCATTCCGCTTTCAAATTGACCCTAAAGATACATGCACGTACGTCGTCCAGATGCGCACCTGTACATGTACAATATCATCCGTTCCGTTCACATGCCGTCTTCCTTCCGTTCCGTATAGATTCAAAACAAACGTATTTTTGACGTAAACTGACCGATACATACGTGACGGAAAGGTCAGGGCAGGTGTGAATAGAAGAATGCTCTACATCAGTTTATTTTTAGTATTAAATCTATCACATTCAATCTAAATCCAATCTAAAAATTGGTAGAAGATCATACACATTTCCTTTATAAGATATGTAATAAATCGATAAATACCTTCATGATACTTCTTTCCTTTTATATATTGTGAATCTGAAGGCGTCTTCTCGGTTTTTTTTTTTTGAAAATGCTCTACCTCATCCAGAATAACGCGGCAATCATTAAATTTTCTTCGGCTCACATACATTTGCAATCAGTTTCACATAACCTACTTCTATAATCTACTCTGATACGGAAAGGAAATGTAACTTTCAAATTGTACGAAACGTTTAAGGGATGAATACTGAATGGAAACGGAATGTATAGTGGAAACCGACTTTTACGCTGTATCCTAACCAACGAAAATATAGGCAACATCAATACATATTCCAATAGTTTTAAATAAGGAATTGGTAACTGAGCAAATCTGGTTTCGACCAAGCTTTAAATATTTGGTACAAAATAAACCGCTTATTGCTTAATAAGGGCAATGAATTTGTTTTACTTTGGACTGAACAATTCAAATATCTGCATATTTGAAAAACTTATTCTTGATTTATGTTTTAAGTTGTTGGTATACCTACCTATTAATTATTTTTGATATTCTTTGTTTTCTTTATTTTAATTTTACAGGAACAAAAAACTTACATTATTGCAGTTTATTTTGCAAATATTTCAAGACATCCATTCAAGTGTAATTGTAAATGTTAAACGATTAAGTGGAATGGCAATTTCAAGAAGTTTTGCCCCGCATGGAGTCAATTAAGTCGGCAACATGAAGTGGAGTAAAGAAAGCCACACAATATTTGCCCGAGACCGTTGTAGATTCAGAGCTGGAAGTGTTTTAGGAGTCCAGGGGGATTATGACAACAACAACAATCTTGTAATGCCCTGCTAGTAGCTTGTCCTGGGGGAGAAGACGTGATACTATGGACGAGTTATACAACTGGCCGCCTGTTGCTTTTCGCACACGCCGCACACTCGCCTGCTGAATGGTTATTTCTAATCTGGCCATAAAGTTTACGATGCCGTCACTTTTATAGCTACGACTATCGTCGGGCTGTGTGCAAAGTGTGCCGTTTGTTTTAAAGGTAATTCATAAAAGAATTATGTACTTATTGGAGATAAAGTTCTTACAGCATCAGACACACACACACGAACACGACCAGAAAGACTAACAGACCCCCTCCCCCCCCGTCAGTATTTTTCAGATCGAGTAATAGAAACCCAGTTAGTCATTAAATTTGATAAATTGTGAATTAGTAAGAAGCTACCGGGATATATGTAAAAAAAATGGAACAAAATCAAAGATATCAAGGGACCGCCGTTTAGCAAGGGTTGTGAGGTTTGAATTAGATAGTGTAACATTTTTTTTTTGAACCGATGAGTGACGCATAATTTTACAAGGTTCTTATCGTGGATATTTTAAAATATAATAATAAAAGTGTCTTAAAAAATAAGCATCTATCTCAATTTGTTACAATGGTACATAGTTATTTTGGATGGTTCACAAAAGTATCTTATACAAATGTCCAAATAGCGTTGTGGGATGTGGAGAATTTGGAGCAGGAGATAACAGAGAATGGTGATTCTTTACCTTATTTTTATTTACTGTGTTTCATTCCCTGAAAGTACTGTTGGTACGTGGTTGTCGTATCTACTTAAACTCTGATGCAAAATGATAAGTTGGCTTAGGGCGGAAAAAAACTAAAAAAAATGTTTGATGCTCTTCATTCCTACCATATACTCCTGCTGGTAGGCAGGAAGTCCCTCCGGGCTACGCCGGAGGGTGGGGTTGAAGATCCTCTTCAGTCTCCTTTTAGGAATTGTAGGAATAGATGGATGGTGGTTGAAGTGAGAAGGATGAGACGGACGAAATGAAAACAGAAGAGGGTGAGTGATAATCTGTGGGATCCTACTGTCTCAGCATCTGCCTAAATGATCCCAGGAAACCAGAGACTAGGGCAGACGGGTGCCGAATCTAATCGATGTTTTCCCAAATGCTGATCAAGGGTCTAATCTAATACTCTAAGCCATGTTGCTCTGAAGATTCTCTTAGGTTTATATGGGTGCGTTAGAAATCTTGCCAATAAGTGGGTGATTAGGGAGAGATAGACGAGAAGAATAAGTTGGATACTACTGTTCCAGTATTTTCTCAAATAGACGATCCCGGTTTCGTGCCGGGATCATTTCGAATGCTAACAATAAGTTATTATTCAGCTGCTAGGCTGCATCGCTCAGTACAATGTGTGGAAATAAATTAGAGTTATGGTTAAGTGTTAAAGCTCATAACATGATACATTGTGGTAAAGACCAACCTAGTCCAAATTTTTCTACCATTTGCTTGGATCACTCCAATCACTACATACCCATACCCACAATTTCTAAAAGGAAGTTCAAGATGGCGTTTTGGCCTACGCTCTGGTGTAGTCTGAAAGAACTCTCTGCACCAGCATTAGTAATTGCAGGAAATGTAACACCCAAATGTTTTCATTAGGTTATTTATGTCTAATTGTTATAGTTCTTACAGTCGTTTAATGTGTTTTCATATTTTTATAGTCACTCCAAATTGCAACTTATCAGATGTCATCGAGTACTGACCTTCCTTCACATCTTCGGGTACAAACTCGTAACGCTGCAACCGTAACAGTTTCAGAAATTTGAGCCATCATCACTTTTCTGGATCTGAAGTTTACTAACGGTAGAATTTTAATTTGTGCAACGATTTGATGAATCCGACGGTTTTTTGCAAATGTTTCATCATTGGGTACATGAAATATCATGATACCAACCATTAGAAAAGCTCTAAAAAGAACAAAAAAAATATTTAATACACCAATACTGAAAAGCTTATTGTACAGGTGTGCCCACCCCACAAATTACACAGAGATATTTGCATGCATATTGTTTTTATTTTATTAGCAACTACATACTTACATAATTAAATATAACTGTAAAATGCATTCCTTTTACTTTATAAAATTTTAATTTTTTAAAGTTACAATATAAGCGTAATACTACTTAGAAATACGTTTTGTTTCAAAAAACACATTAAAAATTAGGTACCTAAATAATTTACTACATCATATTATACTTTATGTCTAAAAATAATAATGCTTATGTCTAGGTTATATCAACATGCATAATAAGGAACAAAGTATGACAGTCAGATGATTATTTCACTTGGTCATATACCTACAAATAATATTATATTAAATATTTTAGCTCTGCTACCCTTTGACAGGTTGTATGTATATAGATGTATATACACTCCATAACTTATTATTTTCTTTGGTCAATAAAATTACATTTTTTTGTAATACACTATAATAACACACTACCCTTAAACTATTGAATAACAGATACATACTATCAAACGACACAAAATATTACTATAAATTAAAGGGTTTGTCCCCGAAATCGTCCAATGGCTGACTGATTTTAGTTTCATAAGAAGCCACCGTCTCAGAACTTTTAGGACCATGTTTTAGGACAACTGCGGCTAGATGCGGGAGAATGTTCAACTTTGGAATTATCTATGAAATGGGCAATTTTCTTTCTCTTTCTCGTTTTGCCTTCACCCTCCTATTTTGAAACCAAACCCTTACATTTCTCTCATCTACCTTTAATTGTTTAGCAAGTAAAATTCTTTTATTTCTTGCTAAATAACAATTTCCTTCTGCAAACGCCTTCTCCAATATTGCACGTTGTTCATAAGTGAATACGGTCTTCCCTTAAAAAATTACGAATAATATGAGCACAAGCTAAATAGATAATTAATTTTTCGTTGTGAGTAATGAACAAGGTTGGTATTGGTTTTGCGAAAATGCAAGATGAAGACCAAGACTGTCTTTATACTAGGAAGACCAAGACCAAGACCGATCGGACAAGACCAACACTAAAACCAAGACCAAAGATGTAAGACTAAGACTAAATACGCGAAACCAAGACCAAATACTCAAGACTAAATGAATAACTATTACTTCCGGTGAATTTATGAGTTAAACTACTTGAAGTAATTTTCCTTGAAACAAAATATTGTTTTTACCTCTTTCAAGTACCTTGTACTATTTTTTTGGCTATAAGGTCAAATTATGCATTGCAAGAAGGGTCAATTTATGCTTTGTTCTCGAGTCTTCAAAAAAAAAAAAGAAAAAATTGTGCTATTAAGAAAAAGTATCAAATTAAATGAGCAAGACCAAACCTTAACACACAACACCAAAACCAAGACTGAGGCTATCAGCAAGACCAAGGTCAAGAACAAGACTAGAATTATTTGAGCAAAACTAAGACTGGAAGAGTCTTGATCTTGATCTTGCTTCGCTCTTAACTAGTTGTTAGTTGGTTACTGTTTGGGTACCTTTCGTTCTTCCTGAAACTTTTGTTTGCCCATTGCCTGTTGTATTTCCATTCTTTGGCTGTGACATAATAACATCTGAAGGTATTGATGGTGAAGAAGAAGAAGAAGAATGTGCTGATGGAGATTGCAGTACTTCAGTAGGTAAATTTGTAAAGTGTTTAATACTTTGGGGTACCAATTTTTCTGGTTCAAGGTTTTCCGAACATAAATCAGCACTCTCCTGCTGCTCATCATCAATAAATACATAAAAACATTAAACTCACATATATGACCGGTTTTAGGGGTTTAAATTAGTTTAAAGCATTCAATACGACAACGTACTTTTACTGTTCCTTTAATAGAAAAAGTAGAAGTTGAAGAATTATCTGACCAAGTCGATTCCGAAGGTGTATCATTTTGCTGTTGGAGACTAACAGGAAGATAATTTTGATTGTAACGATACCAAGGATGTTCCATTATGTAATTCCCCATTGCGGCCCAGTGAGGAGAGTATCCTGAATTTCAAAAATAAATAACAGTATCTACTAATGATAATCATAAGAAAAATATTGGGGAAATTGAAAACTCAATAATAACAACAAAGGGATATCCCACTATTGAAGTATTTAAAGTTGTATATTGTGTCTCTATAGTAGTCAATTATTTAATAATAATCACCAGCTTTAGCCTTTGTCAGTTAGAACTTAAATTGGTATAAAATTTAAAAGATACCCCTTAACCTACAAAGTTTCTAAAAAAGTGCTATAGAAAGGAAAACCGGAAGATACACATACCCTCCCCAATATTCCCTTCTCGCCCTCCCACACGCTCAATCCTTTTCCCATCTCAATCCTCTTCCTAATCCCAACCTTTCATTTTCCCCGAGGATGAGTAACCTTCAGGGTTTAACTCCCCACTCGAGGAGGGGTTTTAGTTAAAAATCCGATACTACCTCCCCTCAGGAGGTGTCTTTTGAAGATTTGCCCTCCTCGAGAATAATCTAAACAAAAAATAAAAAGATACGCATATTCTTAAATGTTACATGTTACTTGAATGCGTGATTTTTAGAACATTGAGGTTTTTCTGTAATAAATCAGGTAAAAAAAGTGTAAAACAACAATTTCTTGACATGCCCCTGAGTCTTCTAGACTTTTAGAGCATTGACCTGATTGTTTATTTTGACACGTCTCCTAAAAAGATACTAAAATAAATCTAGTAAATGCTACTTACCTCTCATGTAAGGTGCTATAGCTGCAGTGTTTTGGGCATAATAACCATGATAATGAGAATTTAGAAATGGTTGTGTCCACTGTGTTTCATACGTTTGCGTTTCTTCAGTGGAAGTACTTTGTGGTGCTGGAGAAAATGTCTGTTCTAATTGGGATTGCTCTGACAAATCATCCACAGAATTAGGAGTTCCAGATGTCTGATAACTACTTACTGAAGATGGCCTCGTGTTAAACGGGTCCAAAAGCGGAGTCTGATAAAGCTTTAAATAAAACGAAAACAACTTTGCAATACAGAAAGCTAAACAATAATTTATTTATATGTATCTACTTACGTTATAAAGTTCGGGATCGTAGTTGCCATAGTTGAACATGTTAGTGTTTACGTTATAGCCTTCCATTGTTATTTACTTCTTCTGGTCAACAAAATTGGTTCAGTTTAGATTATCTACTTATGTACCTACACAAAAACAGAGCTGCTTGACATACCTCCCTTATTTTGAACACATTAAGATTGAGGTTGCTTCCCTTAATACGTTTTTGTTTAATTTTGACTTCACTGAATTATTTATAGATTACCCAATAGACACATGCCTTGCAGAAATTAGTAAATAGTCGAAGCAAACGAGTTTTAATGTGCATTGAAACACATTAAGTTACAGCTTAATATGATAAACTTGTCATGTTGCTATGTTTGTCACATTCTTCATGTTATGAAGACAACTGTGTGTTGGAAATAAGGTAATGTCAAAGCGGTCAACATGATGAAAAATATCAATAAAAAAATTATAAGATAATGAAGATAGCAACATATTACAAGTTTAAGGTGGTTATTTAATTAGGACAAGAGCAAATAAAACCAATTTTCTACTTCATAGAAACACTTGTGAACCAAAGATTAATGATTTTGATTAATAACACGTAAATAATAATATTGTTTTAATCACTAGTTTGAATAATAAGAAAAGAATTATAGGATAATTGAAGGGAAATTAACAATCAAAACCTTTAATCCCAAGTAAAAAATCATCCCAAAATAAAAAAAATATGAACGTTTGAATTTTTTTCAAAATCCTAATACTTTTCTCGCTATGGTTTCAGAATTTTACTAAAACCCATTAGTATAAATTTAATTTTTTGCGTTATTGTAAGTATTAGGAGTTGTATTACAATAAATCTGATTGTGAACGAAGTAAATAATAATAACAATGATAAACAAATATGCATCCGTACTTTAACAACATCAAAATTCCTTCCGGAATTCTATTGCATAATATCGACAATCTAAGGTTGGTCTGTATAAGGATGCATTCCGGGGATGAACGGTTCTTAAATCCCATTATAAACGAGCATAAATACGAGATCGAATTCAAAGAGTCAATAGGTAAGGGATGAATTCGGGGGAGATATCGCTCGCTATACTTTAAGGTTTATGAATAAAACAGAAGTCTTAGACGAAAGCACTGCGATGCCAGTTTAATTTTCCGAACAAAAAGTCTAACGGTTGGCGAATCGAAATCGAAACGGCATCGGTAGCTTTTGAACGATCTGATAGAGTTCGTGTAGCATTCATTAGTGCAAAAGAACGAATCATTCCGAAGATAGCAATAAAGAGATCTTTTAAAATCGTCAGCTTAAACAAAAGAATCGAATATAGACACAGGGTGAAAAATTGAGAGTCGAAAACAGTCGACGAAGTAGTGATTTCTGTTGCGATAATCCAAAAAATAAGCTTCCTATAGAGAATATAGGAAACTTTTAAAAATTTTACCTATCTATTATTTAAAACAGTAGACTTATATTAATAGAACTCCACATCCCAAAATAAACCTTACACGTTCATTCATCCATTCATAATTAAAAAAAAAATTATGGAAATGTCAGAAGAAAATACACACATATTTCTTAATAAAAAGCATTTAGTTGTTGGCCACTAATTAATCGAATTTACCAGGCGTCGATCGCGATTTTGAACTTATTAGTTCTCTTCGTATGTCACTAAAGACAATATGTTGATAAATCACTAATCAGTATATCGAAGTTACTCCATTATATATATCAGTATATCAGTCATACAATAATTAGATATATCAACTATCCTTTACTTCGGCTTCGTCGATGATTTATAGAAACTGCAGATATTGGCGTCCTGGTGAAAACTAATAAATTCGAAATTGATATTCATGTCTAGAGGCATTTTCAAAACACTTCGTTAACCCTCTTATTTCTGAAACGAATAAGTTATTATTGTGAACTAGACCTTCAGGTAAAATTAACAAGTAAAAAGGCCACCGCAGAAGCTGTAAATTATCACGGATATGATGCATACACTGGTCATAATTAATACGACGGCGATGTGCCCTTTGTGGCAATGCCGATCGATAACGTCAGTTCTTTGTCGGCGGATCACTCAGGGTCACAAACCATACGCTGAACGGCCGAATGACATATACATGATCGCGTAACAAACAATTTCGAGAGTTTTTCAGAAAAATTAGGAAAAATCAAGAAGCTTCTATGAAAATATAAACAGTTGACTGGAGTAATAGTGATTCAGTCGGTCTATATCTGAATGGAAGAATAATGCGAATAATAAGACGAATACAGGCTGATGTAGATTTAGTATCAGGTAAATAAATATTTATGAGTATAGTGCAAGTACTAATAAGTAGATACTGGATGAAATTGCTGTTATAGTAAAAAGGGTACTAAAAAATCTGTTACATTATGATAATAATTCTCTTCTCATTACAATATGATTATCGTTTTGAAAATATACATTTCCTTTAGATGGTGCCTAAAAGAACACATGGATACGTTTCCATCAAAAGCACAATCAATTTTATGATAAGAATTAGATAAATATGACCACTTGTTAAATTTTAAATTATACCTAAGTATTGCAATTGAATATCTTTGTGTATTCTTAATTAACAGTATTTTTGTGGGCAGAAGAAGCTACAAATTTGAGGTATATAGTAGACAAATCTGTAACTATTAGTTAGATAGTGCATGACCTTGCTTAATAGTTTTTGGTGATACCGCAGGAGGAACATTATACAATCTTCATTTCAAAAATTAACATTTTTTAAAATATCTGAATGCATATATTTACTTATATGACAACATGAAAAAGATATACTTAATTCAATAATTACCTTTTGTTTCCTACCTACCTATTAGTTTCGTAGATTATTGCTTGAAGCAATGTACCTGTTTGACATCCCATCAATGCTAAAGTTTTGGAAATCTTGAAGTAATTGAGATCATCCATACTCCAATAAGTTGTTCTTTTATTTAAACTTTAGCGTCTGATCTGGACTTAAGAATAACTAGTTTTAACCACATTTCCACAATTTAAACAGACGTAAGACTTATTGTGGTTAACTTCAAGTCTGAAAGCATCAACCCTGAAACATGCTATGAATTCAATAAGTGCAACTACTATAGCAAATACGTTCTTTGACTAGAAATCTTTATGGTAATGTTAACAGCAATGATGCTATTTTTACAGATTTGACTATTGAATATTATGACGTTAATATTAAACACCAGATAATTAACTAATATATAAAAGGATTCCAGAATCTATAACGAATTTTTAAAGTGCCTTGCTACAATTTTTGTTAAAAGAAGGGATAGGTAACGTACCACAAATAAACAAGGTTTATTACATAGATCAGTGTTTAGGAGAGCCCTGGAGACGTCTCATCATCCTAATTTTGCCAGATATTGTTTCATAGTAAACTGTAATGGTGAGATGGTTTCATTATATTTATAAAACATGGAAAGTACCATAATTTAGGCAACAAAAAATAACGAAAGAATGTGAAAAAGAACCAAAGCCAGTAAGTGTGGTACCTTTTAGCTCCCAATTCACCCTTACAACATTTTAATTTTGTGTAATGTCGCCATCTTTCAAATACAAACGTAGCAACAACATTTCATCCTTAAGGGTTGATTTTTAAAAATTGCAAAAAAAACGTATTTGCTTAATTTCAGCAATGAGCATCCTTCGAGTAAATCCGAGTACAAATAAAATGTAGCCCATGGAAACGTTGCAACCTCTTTTCATTTGATTAATAATATCAAACAGCATATATACCAAGTTTCAAGTAAATTCAACCATAAATAAAGTATGTCCCAAACAAAAATTGCAACACCTTTCCCTTTTTTAAATTGTCGAGATAGATCTTTCAGAAATTAAATGAGAGACCATTAAAACAAAGTTTCAAGTAAATCTGATCACAAATAATATATGTTCCATTTAAACATTGCAACTCCTCTTCACCACTCATCCCCCCCAACAGAGATTGAATTTTTTAATCAATTTCAAGTAAATCGAACCAAAAACAAACATGCAATCTTAACAAATGAAAGGCTAGACTGATGTTTTGACTGATAAATTTTTTGTTTTGCTGTCAATTTCGTTTTGTCATTCCATGTCAGTTGCGTTTACATATACCACATTTTTCTCGTGGAAAGTGATAAAAAGTATCCTATGTCCTTCTCCCGGTTGTAAGATACCTCCCCATCAATTTTCAGCCAAATCGGTTCAGCCGTTCTTGAGTTATAAGTGAAGTAACTAACACGACTTTCTTTTATATATATAGATATAGAGCCTTTCGTTGTGTGACATTATTAATAAAAAATAAAGAAACAATGTCTAACTTTTAAAAACCAACAGTGAAACGAATAAATAACCAGAAATCAAACAATTTTGTTTCTGTTACCGGTTTTAATCACAAGAAAATATGATACACTATCCCATAAACCTGGCGCTATACATATAAGCAAATTACTATATTAATTTATTTTAGGTAACTATCAGCAAAATTAAAAAGTTCTTTGTTTTCGGCGTCAAAACGTTTGCTTTTTTCAAGGTGAACACAATACATTCATATAAAATTTTGTTGGAAAACAAAGAACAAGTTTCTTATAAACATACCTAGAATGCCGATAACTATCTTTGAGGAACACCGACAAATGAATCCGGTTCTTGAAGAAACCACAAATTTGTCTGCATTATTAGATATATTTAAGTTAATTTTGGAGTAAAAGAAAGTGAGCAAATTTCGCCGCTAGCTGTCGAAACTTGCTGTCCTTAATGTCAGATAAACCCTACACTCACTTCATTATGTAGGGGTTTAAAGACCCATGTTTTACTGTTCACTGGTGAAACTTCATTTATGTTTTTGCCCTAATAAATACTCGATCTAATAATAATAATATATTAATAAGAAGTAACTGGCAGCTTTCGAAAATCAAACTTTGGTTTCGATGTAGAGATTTGTCTGCTATTTGCAGTCTTATCCAAACTTAAATACAATTCATACATAATCATAATACGTGGTACTAAAAATGACCTGTAATTTTATTATTTTTTACTATTATGTCGTATTTATTTTGTCAGTATGTTCACTAACTTGTGAGTATTTATATAAAAGTGTGATCGTTATTTAATCTTGCATAGTCAGTAGTCAATATAAAGATATTGAGCCTATGTATACATGATATATTGTGACTATATATAAAATATATATTGGACCAATCTGGAAAACAAATATTGGCTGTATTTTTAAAATAAATATTGCACACTTATTATTTCCTAACATTGGAACAATATTTAATTTCAATATTGGGTTAATATTAAAAATCTATAGTACATTGGGCCAATAAAAAAAATCTGACGTTTCCATCATTGAACCAACATGTAAATATAATATTTTGTCAATATTGTTGTGCTACTGGGGATGTAATCAGTATTTAAGTGTAAGTGACCAGGTACTACCTATTGTAATAATACTTTTTTTTGTTTAGATTATTCTTGAGGAAGAGAAATCTTCAAAAGACACTTCCTGGAGGAAGATAGTGTCGTATTTTTACCGACTAAAACCCCTCCTCGAGTGGGAAGATCAACCCGAAGGTTGTACATCTCCGGGAAGAAAATGGAATGGTTGGGAGTGGGATAAGGATTGAGTTGGGAAAAGGGTTGAGCGTAGGGAGGAGACGGGAGTATTTGGGGGAGAAACTGTCGAAATAGGTAGTCCACCTCTGAAGTGATGGATTGACACGCACTAAAAAGCGAAAATTCTGATAATAAAATATGTATGATGTATATTGGCATCCGTCAAATGGGAATGGCCTAAAAACATGGCGCCGATTAGGGAAAATTTATCGTAGTTCCTATAGTGTACCGTGCAATTTCCAAGTTTTTAAATCACGATAAAATGATAAGTATTGACACAATATGTGATTGGGCTGACACAAAGCCTCGGAAAGGAAATTTCGTTGAAGGTGAGCGTGTTTTTAATGCCAATCACATTATAAAATTCGGAAATAACAAATCCGGAAGCTAGCCTTCAAATTCCGTCAAGTTTACTGCCTACTTTTTACAAACTTCGGATTTAAAAAGTGATTCACGTTATATAATTGGTGAGGTGATTCTGGGTGATTTAAGCAATATCATATCAATGACTTGCACGTGCAAAGCCGATTTAAGAGAACGTTGCAAACACATTATTGCAACTTTGTTGTATTGCAGCAGGTAGGTTCTTAACCTCAAAATACTTATATCGTATCATTAGAATTGTGTTAAATCAATTACACAGGAATAAATAATTTCTCACTTTATAATTTTAGTATGATTCTAGTTTTAAATATTAAGGTTATGGCTGATGGTAAATACTTGCTGAAATATAATCATGTGCATTAAAATGACGTGAACAAATTTTTATTCCGGAATTCACTTCTTTGATACCTACTGCTTTCATCCAAGCTTCTATTAGTTTACTTTTTTCTCTAATTTTCCGAATATATTTTTTACATATATAAAACGGTTAGTTTTTATTGGAAAGTAGTTAATGTAGGTGAAGAGTGAAGATCTATGTCTGAAGTGCTATTGCAGCTTTTCACTGAACATATTAACTTTTTATTTGATTTAACTTTAGAAGAAAACTTCGTCGACTCCATCATCAAAAAAATTTTTACTTTTTTAACGTGTTTTATTATTTTAATAAACAATTTTACAATTTGCGTGCACAGTTCCTATGTAAATTTTTCCCTCATTCGAGTTATAAATTTTGCCACCAGATGGTGTATGCCCATTTGACGGATCCCAATACTCACCGAAAATTAATTTCAATATTGATCATTTAATTTGTTACCATATTATATTATCTTAAGCAGTGGCGCTTATAAAGAGGTACCTACTTATAGTAAAAAGTTATTCATTCAATTATTAAATATTACATAGAGTTCCGACGATTATATTCGTCCGTTATCTTAATTTGCGATACTATAATTGCTTAACTCATAAAAAAATTAAGAAACTAGTGACCTAATTAATTATAAATTATTTGCCTATTAATAGTTACCCACATACCTTTTAGCATTACTACATTAAATTATCTCATCAACCAATCAAATTAATTACTTAATAACTTACAATAGAGAGTTTATAATAAAATAATAATAGTGTGGTCCATAAATCATAATAAACAAAAGGGGGGACAGACATGCAATATTAGGATTTGCCTTAGAAACTAAGAACTGTAGTCTGGTTTTCGTATGTAGTGTGGTAACGTCAAACTAATTTTTTGCTTTGTTAATGCGGCAATATATTGAATGTTTTAGGAAAATTTTAAAAATGAATTTTTAATAACTAAAAATTGTGGAATTTCGGGAGAAGTTTCAATCCCCTATAGATACATACCTAACCTGTTTTTTATAAATATATTCATTAAACTAACTTATCCAAATTACTATCACAAAATACAGGTTTACAGGTGTTGGAAATCAACGATGAGTTTAGTTTTGTAGAAATATCTATTCATATTGTCGAGGTCACTTTTAGGCCACATCTGGGTTTTATGGCCCTAAGGAGGTTGCAGACTTTTGTACATTTTAAAAGTTAGTTCCTGAGACGCTCCCTTTGAGTTAATACGTTCCTGTTGTTACTGGCCATTAAGTACAATTGGAGTTTTACTATTTTTCATTACTGTTACAATTAAACCACCGAACCATTGCCAATCTTAATATAACCAACAACAGGTATTACTATCAATTTCTAATTTGGATGTCTTATTTTAATTGCATCAGTTATATACCACAGTCTCTAATTTCTACTATAAATATATTATCATTTAAAAATATAAAAACGAAAATATAATTATTTTTATGCTTTTATTATAATTAGAATTTTCAGAAGAACCTGTTGCACATTATTATTTACATGAATATATTTACGCCACTGTAGCACTTTTCCTTCCACTTAGAAAGATGCCCATTACCTCCACCACAATAAATACTGTGTTCCCATTTTGGATAATGGTTTATTCACTGCCAATACAGTAGAGATAAAAATTTTATGAAGTTTAACTCACATTTTGTTTCTATATAGAAAATAAATACTCTTCAACTCACTTGTAAATATAACAATGAAAACATATTTTACTTTTATGCATTTATTACAATCACAGCGTGTACAGAAAATTATAAAAATTTTATGACCAACATGTGGACAAAAATCAGACTTATACTATTAGTTAAAATACAATTAAATAACTACATACCAAGTTCATAAAATATACAATAATGTTCGATATGACAACGTTATTCATAAAGCTATAGTTCTGTTAAATCCTTGGGATTAGGATTAGTCAAATCTCCGTAAAATGGCTGTGGCTGTTGTTGTGGTTGCTGTTGACCTACCCATGAGACATTTACAATAGGATGGGCATTTTTGGTAGCAGCCTTGGCAGCATCAAAAGTGAGGACTTGGTTTGGTAAATATTCACTTTTCTTACCAGCAATTTGCGAACCAGTGTAATCTCCAACGTATGGAGATCCATAAGCGCAAGATTCATTATAATAGTTGTGATGATTATAATAATCATGCGAAGAACTGATCACAGGGTTCCTCATTTGAAAGTGCTGAGGCTGATCGAAATAGTTTTCTGAATAGTTCACGCTCTGCTGCTGTTCCGGAACGGTGTAGGATTCGGGAGACACCGACTGGGGAAAGTAATGCGGCTGGGAGTATGACGAAGACGATGGCGAATGCGACAGAAGTTTATCCACAATTGCTTGCTGTTCTGATAGAATTCCAGCAGGAGGAACAACACGATTGATCTTCCTTGTCGTTGATGTACAGGTAGAAAGGTTAGTTGGAGATGACTGACCATCGCATGAAGTTTCAGGCGAAACTGATTTTGCCTTCTGTTCCTTTTTATGTTTCATTCTACGGTTTTGGAACCAAATCTTGATTTGACGTTCAGTAAGGTTCAAAGCTTGCGCCATCTGGATTCTCCTCGGTCTGCACAAATACTTGTTGTAGTGGAACTCCTTCTCCAACTCAACTAGTTGGGAAGATGTATAAGCAGTTCTAGCCCTCTTCGCTGACGTAGTATTAGCAATTGGAACCGGTGATCCACTGCTATGTTTGTAATCTAAAAAAGAAAATAGGAGAATTAATAAAAACTCTTTGGGTAGTACAGAAAATATTTTCTAAATTCATAATGGTACAAAAAACACTAACCTGTGGCCAACGTTGATGGAGTTTCGTTAGAAGAGAGTGGTAAAGGTGGGTTTGGTAAAGATGTCGAATTCATATTGGCAGAATTGTAAGCCCAGAGTTGGACATATCGGTTTTCAAGTTGATCCTAAAAAAAAAAATATAAAAATGTTATTGCCCTGTTACATATGTACTAATACAAAACATGTGACTCATAATGAGTTTTCCAAAAAATAAATAATTAAAAAAGCTTACCTGTTGTTGATTTTGTGACTCCACCGGAAAATTGTTGCCATTATGCTCCATGTAGGGATATTCGTTGTTTCCATTTTGATAAAAGTTATGTTGAACACCAAAATTGGGATATGGAGGAGGTGATTTGGAGCCGTCACTTGAAGGTGAAATCGGGAATATTCCATCCTCCTGTTTTGGCTTGATTCTTCCAACACTTAAATCTTCACGAATATTTTTCAAAGTCATCTTGATACGCTCTCGTTGTTCTAAACTGATCAAATCGCTCGAAGCACTGTTGTTGTTATCTTTAGACAAATCTTCGACACAATGATTGTCATCACAATTCGAGTCGAATTTATTTGTCTCGTGGACGTAGCTGTCTCTTTCTATTCCATCGCACATTCTCACCAATCACAGAACAGCACAGGTTTAATCACACTTACGACACCAACCCCGTTCGGTCAACGGATGATAAGACGACTTAGAGGAAGGGGTGGGGGCGAAAACAGGTACTCGCACGACTAAAGGGAAAGTGACACAGGAATAATGCGAAATACAACGAAAACTTCACGAATTTAGAAAATAATTAAATGTAACCAAATTTTGCAATTTTTATTTTTACAATAATCGAACTCTAATGCATATGAAGGCATATGAATATGTAGGTATAATGTGTTAACAGTAAGTGTATCGAAGAAATACTGCCAGTTAGAAAACCTAAATGGCCTTTTATGACTTTGAAAAGCGATAGTTGTCAATCGCCTCAGGATACAGAAGCAAAGCTAACACCTAAAATTGAAATATTTCTTTGTCTCATACGTCAACCTGTTATATTTCAAGGTAAAAAATATCTCCAAGAGACAGCAACGTGTTTCTACGTTGATAAGGCTTATGAAATATGTTCTACAACGACAACAACTAACTTTTACCTCCCAATATTTGTTGTTTAGGTAAAATACAACTTAACATCAAAACAACAGTTGAAGTTTTACTAGCAGATATGTATATAAGTAATAAATAGGTATTGCTTTAAGCTTATTTCTGAATTAACATTATTTGTGCCCATATATATACCTACGAATAAATTTTTGACATTGTTTTCCACAAAATCAAAAAAATTAATATAAACATATGTAGCGCATTGGTAGCTCATTTATTAATGTCTGAGCTTTTTTGGCGATGTCATTCTCGAAAAACTGTAACAAAATTCTATGGAAGAAGAATATACCAAATATGTACTTGAAGTATTTTATTATTATATTACTTCTGACTGTATTTTAAATTACTTTTATAACCTTACGTAACTAGTCAAAAAATATGAGGTTGATATTGTACTTTTACAATCAATGTGCAATGTATTTTATGTCTTCTCTTTTTCCATTGAGTTTGATACTGTCGATCAATAGATAACGTTTTTTGCTGTGAACATCCCTTTTCGAACTTTAATAATCAACTGATTGAAAAAACAGAATAATTCACTTGGTAAATTTCTTTGGTAATTAAAATAAATTGAAATAATTCTTAAATTAATTTGTAATGTACATTTAATTCTTCCTACTCACACATGCATAGATCATGGATAGGTACGCGATATCCACGTATGTTAATTTGATATTATACGTAATTATTGATTAACCATTTAGCACACACAGTAATGGCTTCTATAATAAAAAAGAACAATACTTATATTTTTGACCTAATTAGTTATAAATCGTTTCTCACATAAGAATACATTTGATATTAAGTGAATATGAATTACTTTAAAAGCTACTTAAAACAAATATTGCGAGTCCACTGTTTAGTTAACAACTAAAACTCGTCTTTTCATTTAGATCTCTGTGGAAGTGCAAACGGCATCATATTATTTATTTACAGAAGTACAATTATGCAAAATAAAAAAGTGCTGGTGTGGCTAAGTTCTATTACAAATTTATTTTGTGTAGTTAGGTGATTACATTGGATATAATTTAATGTGTGCATACAAAAATAGATAAAGGTGAAGTTAACTCTTTAACAAAATACTGAAGGACGAAGGAAATTCAGAGTAAATTAAATTTAAAAATTAAGTTTCTTTTATACTAAGACACATAGGTATGCATGTAATCCATAAAAGACATGACGTATAAAATCCCTTTACCTAAATTTAACTTCCTTATTCTATAATCGCTTCTTTTTTCAACGAAATTGAGAATAATTTCAATGCTTTTTCTAGTAGCTGTTGTCTATATTGTTATTTAGTTATCTTTGTAGATTTTATTAATCAATTTTGTGCATCTGTTTTTTACACAATCCAGATTTAATTAATTTGTCTTCATTATCGGTTTATTATGTATCCTTTTAATTCTGCAATCGTATCAAGATACTTTGTTTTCCTTCTGGTTCCTACCGGATGTTTGGGTCCACCATTTGAAAAGAATTTTTACTAAAATCGTTATGTATTTATGCTGAACTTTCAAAAATGCCCTTAAATTTATTAAATATTAATTAACATGCGACAAGTGAACTATGACGTCGATTGATGCATATAGTGAAATTCAAAAGCAAGGTAATCGAGTTTGGTGACTGTCATCATGCACTTTCCACTCGAGGTATTTTAGTTAGTTCATTAATTTATTAATTGCTCATGAAAATTATTCGTGTAGGTGAGACAAGTGCATTGCTTCAGGTGAATACGCACATTTTGGTGTAGTGAAAGCTTAAACTTCATGTAATAATGGGACACATATTTGCAATTATTTAAGGCCCAATCGAACTAATTAACGTTGATGGTTTAAGTAATCCCTCTAATAGGTTAATGTCTGTACAATGAATAATGAGATATGGGTAGTATTTGTTCGCGACATTAGCAAGTTACCAAAAGATTAAATCAATGGTGTATGACGTATACTTTTACCAGTGCTGTTTTAACTGGATCAATATTAATGCAAAAGTAAATTTAAAATTCTTCTTCGATTGTCTCATTAATTACAATGAAAATTAGGTACAAAAGGACTTTGTGTGTCTATAATTCTCCCTTAAATCATACCAAGAATAAGCTAAAAAAATTAACATCAAAAGTGAGTATTTCTGTCAAAAGAAAAAAAAATTAGCTTTTGTCGGGATGTAGGTGTAAAATCAATCGGAACAAACAGCGAAAACTAATAAAAAAGGTTCACAGTTTGTTCATATATTAAAATTGAAAAAATCACAATTGAGTAGGGGAAAATAAGTCATGTACATACTCATCGTTGTATATATTCTGAAAAAAGTTACTAGTCGTCCCGAGATAAAAATGTTCAGTCTCTCAGAGTCTCTGAAAGCGAGACTCGAGTCTCCGTCTCTTATCGAATCTCTCTGGTGTCGTTGAGAGAGACTGTCAAAAAACTTTTTAGCGTCTCTGAACGAGAGACTAGAATCTCCTAATAAGTGGTGTCTCGATAGACATGGTCAAAATTTTCTAAGTTCAACATATTTCAGAGATTCCAGTCTTTCTACGAGAGACTCGAGTCTCTCAATTTTTCAGTTTTATACATTCAGTCTCTCTGTGAAACGCCAATCTCTGAATTAACAATTTTATCGTTCGAGTCTCTCATACAGGGACTCTGGGAAATCCATAAAAACACCTAGGCAATAACTGAGAGACTGTGAATGACGGTGAGAGACGCTGAAAGACTCTGAGACATAAAGAAACACTATGAATTAAAAAAAACTGAAAATTCTTAACACCATAACAATACAACAGAAATAATTGATCATTTGTACGGATTAAAGTACCTACTAATTCATATTAAACTGATAAGGTTTATTACATAAAAAACTAATAACTTAAATAATTTGTAGTTGTAACTGTATTACTGTAAAGAGTAAAGGTGTTTCTGCAGCTTGGATCTGTTACAAGATTGTATAAAATATAGGCTTCATTTTAGTTGTATTTAGACGATTAAAGAAATTTGTAATTATCAGTTACAACAACATACCTTTCTTCATGCAATCAGAAATAACGCAATATATTGTAACTACAATTTAGATTACGTATCTTGAGGTATATTTTGCACACGCAATATTTCTCAAAAACATGAAAGTCTAAATGGCGGAAAAATTTGTTTTAATTTTCTTAATTAATTATTTCACACCTAATACCCATTTGGAAATTCCAAAATACTAGTAGCAAGTGATTTTATTAGAGGTGTGAATCTTTAATATTTACCCGCTAATAGTATCTACCACGATCACTATTTTGGGATTTCCAACGGTTAGCGGTTTTCTAATGTAAACTGTGATGCAAAGTTGAACTGTTTTAAAACTAAAAAAAATTACACAAAAAAAAGTACGCCACTCTTGTAGAAACACGAATGAAAAATTCGTAACAGGGTATGTGAATATACGAATTGGATTAATCAGAGAAGTAGATCTACGAAATTTATTAATTGTGTTTGTAAAAAATATGATACCTACAGTTGTCAGTCATTTGCTAAAACCTAAGAAATTAATATGATTTATTTCTAAAAATAAATGAATAAAAAATAATGGGACATACGTATGTGTTTACATTCCATTTTCAATTCGAAAAAGTTAAATAAAATAAGAACAATAAATATGTAGACAAATGAATATAATATCACAACTACTTTATCTCTTGTGACCATGATATATCAAGGTCATCAACCTGATTATAAAAGTTTATTAACTTTCACATGCGATATGTGCACTTTGCAGAGAAAATGCCCCCTGCTGAGAAGAGGTACCTGAAATATAATTGCTAATGTATACTATTGTAATAAAGCAATCATACGTGCATGCTTAAAATACTCATAATATCACAAAATTAGAAAATATAACCTATTTGTATTAGCTTAATTTTACTCTTTTGTTACTTCTTTATTACATACTTCTATCATAGTGTATTGCTATAAAACTACTTTACATTCAATCTGCATATATACTTTGCAAACAATTATTTATTCATTCCATTGGAATTATGTCAGTAAGAAATAAAAAATAACAACAAAATGATATGCATTTGAATTTTGCATTTTTAGGATTGGGATACCAGCATATGTTATGTGTTAGCATTTTAATTGATTCAATTAAGTAAAAATAGAACAGTTTCAGTAATTTTCAAACAACGTATAAATTTATCGTAACAATTAAAATTTTACGTTCAAAAGAAAAGTAAAAAACTAAAACAAGCACATACAAGGTACAGTATTCCTTGCCGTTACTCTTTTTTTTTTTCTTTTTTTGTAACATGGTGCAGTAAATTTCGAGCATTTCCTATAGAATTTTTTACAAGTCTTAAG